ACAGTTCGACTATTTGTGATTTATCTCATCCTTGTTATGAATGATTGTTGTATGTCTCCTAACAACACTTATGCTGCACCATAAAATTGGTACTTTATGTGGGAGCGACCTTTTCCTTTTATTATTTTTCTTCTTTCTCTCCTTTACTGCTACTGCTGAGTCGATCATTTCATGTCGGAGAAGACTGACAGACGGCCAGATACAATTGCAGTAGCAGTAGCAGTTAACACTGTCTTTGCCTTGATAGGAGGAGAGTATAAACATTAACGCTAACAACGTTCGACGCCATCTTAAAACAATTCGGATTATCAGTTGTTGTTTTTTTCTTTCCTTTCCTTATTTCTCCTCTTCATACATTTCGTTTTTTTCTCTTTCTCTTAATATATAAACAAATATTGCTATAGACAGTCATTTTCCGCTTTGCTACTAAATACCGTCAGTAATTGCTTGCAGATCCTTGTAATGGTTTTTGTTCGTAAATTCAAAGGGCCACGTTCAGAAGAGAGGGTTGACTGTCCAGTCAGATCGTGCCTTGTTACTATCAGCAAATTTCGAAACCTGCCCAAGCATCTGCAGACAAAGCACAAATTTTGTGAGCCTATTATAAAATCAATTATTAATCAAATTCGGAATTGTGTTGCCGGTGTTGAAGATTTCTGCGAGCGCAATTTACCAAAAAATGAGTCATCTTGCGATATTCAGGGTAAAATCCCGCCAATAATTGATTTCTGCAGAAGGAAGAATTTATTTGATGACCAATCAACCATTCTGGAAGTGACCACCTCTACAACTACTTCTACTAATGATTCTCGTTCGCCTACTTATGGAAATTTCCCGGCCGATTGTTCAACTCGAATAGTTTCATCATTTTCTCACCCTCGCGTGGCCGACCACCACCAACAACAACAACGAGAATTCTGTCGTCGGGTAAGTCGTGAAAGAAAGGATATCGTCATGTGCAAAACCAATTTCTCATCGTCAAGTTTATCACAAGAAGAACAGAAAAAATACAGTGCCGACGACTTTTCTCTTTCTATGCGTAATTCTTGAAGAACAAGACCTATAGTCTATTTATTATTATCTTTGTAATTACCCTAGGTTATGTGGCGCTATTAAAGAAATAAGCAAAGCTAAATAATATTAATTTTCCATTTTTATGTAGTGCTTCTATCATATTGGAAATGCTATCATATAGTAGTTCTTCAGCTGCAGTAAAACTGCATTCATCTGTTCGTTGGCCTCCCTCCAGTCTACGTGTCTCTCACTCATTCTGTCTGTTTTAGCAAGTGACCTAGTGGATGCGACTATTAATCACATGAAATGGACAACAGAAATACTGTTAATATTACTACTACTAATCACAGTAACCAACGTTGGGGAAAGTCACCTCCTCATCTTCTCAGTCGAAAAGCATTGCTCAGCAGTGTCGCTGGCGGCAACTATAAAAAAGATGATAAACATAATACTAATGATGCTGGATCTTTGTCCCACCGGGTCGCTGTATCCAAGGTTGGTGTTTCCTCATTTCGAACCGACAATGTGGTCAGGTACACGAAAAGCACATTAAGTTCACTGAATCAGTTGCAGAAAACCTACCCGTGGCTGTTAGTCCAACTGCGGCCAAACCAAAATCCACTGGCCAGTTGTGCTGTCTGCCAGAAGTATTGGTTTTCTAGTACAAGATCGTCTCTGAAGAATCCATGGGTCCAGGGCAATGTTGATCTAGGCTCCTGTCATAGGAAGAGTAAACTGCTTCTTCATGAAAAGTCTGAACTTCATTCCAAGTGTGTAGCTCAGAGTTTAAAGGTAAGTAGATTCGTTTTTACAACGAATCTTGGGAGACGGGACATGATGATGATAATTAAATGAAAACGTTAAATAAAATCCTGAGAGCACTTCATGTTTCGATTTCATTCCACATTCGCTAATATAATTTATTTAATTTTTTTTTTTTTTTTTATAATGCCGATGGACTTTTTCTTTTAATTTTTTTCCGCGCTCCTCTTGGGGTTGTTTGAGTGTTAGCATCTATGTGACCTGTATCTTGACACGTTAATAGACGTGTAATAATAGAAATAATACTTTTCCGTTACGGTTAAGGAAAAGGAGATAGACCTCAAGTTTGAAACTGGTATTTTATTTGATTTTGAACAAAGTAATCTAATTTAATGACGTAATTTGTAACACTTGAATTTTTTTGTAATAACAATTATGGCATTTTAAACTTTGAAAATAAAAATAAGTAATTTTCGTAAACATTACCGACATTTCTTTTTTAATTCTCTCTAATTACCGGTCACTGTGCATTATTTTTCTATAGAGATTTTTTTTTTTTTTTCACAGACGCAAAAATAGGTATTTTAGAATTTTACTATTTACAAATTTTACATCCGTCTCTTTCTCAACTATTATGCCTTCTTTTTTTTTTTTTTTTTTTAAGTAGTCAACTGGCCAATGAGTGTAAAGGGCGGAATTGATCATGCGCATTCGGTCAATAAGGGAAACGGGTACAGCAGTAAAAAAAAAAATAAAATAAAATTACGCAAAAATAAACTTTCTTTTACACGCTTGTGTTAGGTTGCATTGAATGTAGCCATTAATGAGGTCCGAGTTGTGTTGACTGCCATAATTAGACGTAAAATATAAACTCTTGTTAATTGGGAAATATTATAAGTATGATTGTCTGAATGTCTTCGCTTACTTCCCTTGGTTTTCTCTTTATCCTGGTCGACTAACAGATGGCGGAGTTTGATAGTTTTGTAAAATACTTCTTAAGTTAAATAGATATTTATAAAGATTATTACCTACCCAGCAACTATTTATTACAGCCTTACATTCTTTAACTCATGATTATTAATAATTGTGTATTTTTGTCATATGCTTGCAGTGTTAAGATGGTCCATTGTTTATTTTTCTACATCTGACTTCTTATAGTAAATATATTTTTATTCAAAATCTATTGTTGAAGTCCAGACTCAAAAATTCAGCAAAAATAGTTAAATGACTAAAAAAAAGCTAGGAGAGAAAAATTGGTTAACATTGTAAATATTTCCTTAAATCAAAGTCGGAAATTGCTCAGGTGAAATAGTATAAAGTTGATAGTTTTCTAAAATATGTTTTGAAAAAAAAATGTTTTATCAAAATCTTTAAGATTTTTTTAAAACTATTCATTTGTGAATAAATCCTGAAAGTTTCATTTAAAATTTGTCAATTATCTAACTTGTGCAAAAGTTTTTAAAACAGTGTTTTTCAGACTCAAATTTCCCCATATTAATTTATGGTCACTTGCTGAAACAAAAAATTTTAAGCTTCTAAAAAAGGATTAAAAATATATAAATTAAGAGTATTAATTTTACATTTGTTCCCTCAGCCACACACTTATTTAATTTTATGAAATTTTGGTAAATTCGTTTTGGTTATAAGTGCTTATCCTGTTCACACTCCTACCCGGTCTTGTTTCTGGTTCCTTAAGTCTACTTCAACTCTATATTCCAAATGCTTGTCCTTATGCTAATACAGCTCCATGCAGTAACCCTCTACCTTGGGTAGATCTTGGGCCTTGTATTGAGTGTTTTTTTTTGTTTTTTTTTTGTTTTGTTTTTTTTTTTTGTAAAGCAGCACATGTCCGTGGTGAATTTAAATGCTCCAGTAATTTTTTTTTTCTTTTTTCTTCATAAGTGTGAACCTTTATACATGACCTTATGGTTTTTTAACTTTTCCTCAACAAGTATCTTTGTAAGAAAAACCATAAAGACAAAGTACCTAAAATTCAATAAAACATTAGATTTCTTAGAATATTTTCCTAATTTTTTTTTTTTTTTTTTTTTAACATCACTGGCTAGTTAGAAAATTAATATGGAAAAGGTGTTCAAGCAATTGTTGCAGCTATGTCACCATCATCCCCAAAGGGAAAAAAGATTACCAAACAAATCTACTTTTTTTTTTTTTTTTTAACATCTCCAAAATGTTGCTCAGCCAATTGTAGAGCTTTCCTTAAATTCAAATAACAACTTGGAAACTCCTTTGGCTGAAAGGGTATTATTACATAACTCACTCTCTAAACCAGCATTGATTTTTGCACATTCAGAAGCTGTTTGTTGAAAGTACACTTACTAAACAATTGCTATCAATCCCAGCACATTGGCTGTCAGTAAAATAAGCTGCACTAAAAGAATGGGTGAATGCTTTATTGATATTAATAACATTATGGGAATGCTGTCTTTAAGTGAATCTTTGCGCGCTTGACTTAGAATAAAGACAGTTTGTTCTTTTTGTTAATCTTCCAATAAATTATTCTATTGCTTCTTTGATGACAAATATTGTTAATATTTAAAATGGCAAATATTTTACTTGCATATGTTAAAAGAATGCTGATCAATTTCAAAAAATCATTGTCTTTATTTACAATTGTAGAACATGACAAGTTCCCAAACTTTATCATAAAACTAATAATGATAGAATTGAACATAATTGAATGGCATAGAAAATTTAAAAGAAAGGCCAGACAACTTTTTATCCATTTTGTTTTCCTTAATTTCTTGGCAATTACATACTTAGTAATTTGTAAATAAATGGATAAAGATCCTGAAATTCTACAGAATTTACTTTTTTAAAAGAAAAAAAAAAAAAATTACATTTATTGTGTGTAGGATTACATTCAAGTTTTGACAGAAAAATAGCTTAAACAGTTGTAGGATTATATATATATATATATATCTTTTTGTGTAGAAAATATCTTTCATAATCTAAAATGAGATACATAATTTTGAATTTTATAAATGATGTTTGGTATTTTTCCTTGCAGAAGGTATAAGAAATTTATCTGTATAATGGATGCACTATTGAAGATAAATGACAATTGATAATTTTGTTTGTTGCCTAATGATATGCAGAATATTGTTTGGTCTAAATATCAGGCCAACAATAGATTATCTCCTAATGAATTTAAAAATTTGGAAACTTCTATGTTTAATGCATCTTCTTTTGGCCTCTGTTAATAGGCTGGACCATCAAATCAAGGTTACTCTGGTAAACCAGAAAACAGCCGCAGGAAGAAAATAGCTACTGCAACAGTCTCTTCTGAGACTGTGCTGATTCCTGATGACTCTCCTCCACAGCCAACTGCTCCCAAATTGCAAAAGAAACAGCTTGATGACAGAAGATTTGATGAAAGACGTTTTGATGAGCAACGCTTTCAGGAAAGGCGATTTGAAAACAGACGCTTTGAAGAGAGAAGGTCAGTTCTTTTTCTTCTCCATTCAACAGCATTTCTAAGCTTCATTGGTTAATTTTCTCTTGTACTTTGTTGCAGCAATAAACTAAAACAGCATTTATGATTGAAACTCTTTGCTTTCCTTTAGCATATTTTACTAAGTCGTTCAATCTTTGTCAATTTTGAGCTGTGGTTGTTGAGATAATGTCAGTTATCTTTCTCGTAGAAGAAATTGAGGTGATGTAAAAAATTCTTTTTTTTTTTTTGTTTTTCTAGGCAAATGGCTGCAGCCCAATCAGCCCAGGTGGCTGCTCCGCCTCTGCAGGTTCCTTCACAAATGCAGGTGCAACAACACTTGCAGGTTTCAGCCCCACCTCCTGCTCCTGTCCAAACAGCGCCAAGGCAAGTGCAAGTGTTGGCACCCCCAGTTCAAGTCACAGTGGCTAAGCCAAAGCCTGTAGAAAAGCCTCGACCCCGGGAAAAACGAATATTTGTTGTCGCAGATCATCAACGTTGTGTCATGTCTAATCTGGCCTCTCTCTGGAAAAGTGGAAAGTTATGTGATGCAGGTATAGGCAATGGATCATCGACGGTCATGGTAAGTTGGTTGCCTTTGTTTTGGGAAGGCACTCCTACTCCTTACTGTACACTAAAAAAAGCATTATTCTGTAGAATTAAATAATTTGCTGAGTGAAGAGATTGTACTGTTAACCTTGCCTTATTTGACATTGTCTTTGTATACACACACACACACATATTTGTAGATATTCTGTTTTTGATCTTTATGCCAAAATACTTCTATATTGTCATCATCAAGAAATTGTTTTTCTACGTATCCTCTTTTAAATATTGTCCACTTGATGAAAGAAATAAGTCTTTTGTCCTGTATGTTTTTCAGGTGCACAAGGTTGTCCTTTCTGCTGTGTGTCCAAAACTGCTTTCCGTGTTCAGTACGGACATTTTGTCGCACAAGTTCCTGCAAGTGAATTTCCCAGAGGAAGTTAGCACGGAAGCATTAAATGCATTTGCTGAATACATGTACAATGGCATTTTAGATTTAGACCGTGACATTTTGGAACAACTAAAGATCATTGCCAAGAGACTGGATATGAAAGAATTTGAACAGTTGTGTGATAGCCATCTTCCAAACCACATGCATCAAACCGCTTCTGCTGCTGTTGCTTCCTTCTCTAATGTTCCCTTGATTCAAACGACCATGCCACTTCCTCCCATGACGTCATCTCTTCCTTCGCTCGGTTCCACCATCTCCACCTCCATGCACTCTGCCCCATCTATCACTACTCAGGTCATTGATGTCAAGCAAGAAATCTCCGAAGCCGAACTGGCCCAAGTCAAGAAGGATACGGCTGCAGTATTTGGCCAAGAATCGGAGGTGTCATCACTGGCTCCAAACAAGTCTGGAAATGCTGCCGGTTTTGTCATTAGCCCTAGCATAAAAACTGAACCAGTTGGACCAGAAGACGACAAATACGGCCACTTGAGTAGTAGCAGCAGTAATCAAGCTTTCACGTCGACTGCCTCATCTTCATCAGTTATCCCAACAGCAGCATCCACATCAATAGCATCAGTTCCAGCATCATCTACAGAATTTGCCATTCCTTTCTCAGAAGCAACAGATGTGAAATCTACCAGATTAAAAGTCACTCACTCTTATGACCCTCCTCTTGTGTCAGACTTGTCACCTGTTTCTTGCATTGTTGAAACGGTGTGTTCCCAATCCAGTCCCATGAATGAAGACTCTTCCAAACCATTAAATAGGCTGGCTGTCTCGACAACATCTACTGATGGCCTGAGCACATCAACTGGTAATGAAGCTGTTTATCCTGTAGGACTATTTACGGCAGGGGGAGACAACTTACCTCTGTTAACGACACAAACTGTAGGTGTTAAAACTATTGATTTGTACAAAACAGATTTAACTTGATGTCTGTGAACTTAGAGGTTTTAAAGAAAATTTCTGTAAAAAAAAAAAAAAAAATATATATATATATATGGATTAATGTGTATTTTTGTATTAAAATCTTCAAATACAAATTCTCTTGTTTCCTTTTTCTTTTTTTTCCATCATTGCATTTCATTGTTTTTTTGCATTGTAATTTGTATTAATGTATGGCAGATATCCAAAACATAAAATTTAGATTCAATCAAATCTTTCTTTCTCTCTAATTATGACTTTGTATCAAATGAAATCCTGTTATAGTGTGCAACAAAAATATCTTGCATATAATGGTAAAACATTAGCCAGATGAAGACACTGTCTTATGTGGAATGTATTTCTGCTACACCCTGTATGTAGAGAAAACTTTTCCTAAATGAATCTACATTTTATTTTAAGAAGAAATATCCCCTACCAGCCCACAAACTCCAATCTTGTGGCGATTTTCATCTCACTGATGTATTAGTTGTATTTTCTGAAGTCAATAGCTTGATAAAAACTTTTTTTACTTTTTTTTTTTACAATTTAAAAAAATTTGATTGAATTTTTTTCAAATACTTGTTTATAATTTAATTTTATTTTATTCTTTTTAAGATTTCATTTTGTCAAACTTTAGCATGGGTTAAGTACAGTAGTATATGAATTTTGGGACAAGCTAGTTGAAATGAGATTAGATTTCTTCCTTCTCCACATTGATTGAATGTCACATTTTATTGTGAATTTAATATTTGCTTTATTAGAATTTTAAATTGTAACTTGTTGAAAAAAGAAAAAAAAAATTCAGTATCTCAGATGTAATAATGCCTTTTTAGTTTTAAATTTCATCTTTCAAACATAATAGGCTCTAAATGTTTAAATAAATGTAGATGAAAAAAAATCTTTCTCTAAAATGGAAACCATTTTATTTTTTCTGAAAAGATCTTTTTCTTTCTTTCTTTCTTTCATTGTGTTCAATACCTAAGCAAAATACCTTCCTACTCCAGCTGCACTTAAGTTTTGGCTGTAGATTTCCTCTTATTAAATAATAATCTACATTAATCTTTTCAACACTTTGATTTCTTCATTGCTTTTAACTGATCCATGTGACATGAATTATTGGAACAAGCTGTAACTTTTGAACATTTTTTTTTAAATTGATGACCATTTACTTTGTGTACACATGTCAGTTTCAATCCTTGAAACATAACATAGCACTGAAAAAGTCATGAAAAAGTTGTTTTTTTTTTTTTTTTTTTTTTTTTTTGACTTATTGCAGGTCTTCATATTGATTGCCATTTTGCTTCAGGGGTTGCTGACAACACATAAATGTAATTGCATACATCACAAATTGCTTCATTTTATATTTGGTCACTTTCAGTGGCCATTTCATGGATTGTTGCTGATTTTGTTCAATAATCTTCCAGGTTTCCCCAAGCAGAGGAAAAAATGGTAATTCCCTGGAGAGCTCACAACATATTCAATAATTTTAACCCCTTCACCCAATTCTCTGTTTGGTATATTTTGGGAAATTTTACTGGATTTCTGGGTGATTGAAATTGAAATTCATTTTGGAAATTACCAGATATCCTCGCTCACCTTATGACTCGTGACTTCATCTTCATTGAGGATGACTGATGTTGGTAAAAACTCTTCTGATAAATATGCTTCCTAAATCTGAAAGGCTGAAACTACTGAACAATTTTTTGTAGAATTGTGAGGTGCAACCATTATTCTAAATAAGTTAATTGCAGAAATAAATATTTATTTAGTTTTGGGCTGTAAGTTTTAAAAACAAATGCTTCCAGGTTGAAGAACTGAAAATAATGTGCAGCAATAATGAAATATTTAATTTTAAAATTTTCAAAGCAACTATCAGCATTGTAAGATCTTAAGTCCTAGTTTTATTTACCTTCCCATGCTTTAGTATTTTGTTAGCCAGCATTTGATCCACATGGCAAAGTAGCAAGTTAGAAACTAGATTTTGAAAGGTCAGTTTGTCATAAAAAATTTTTATTTGTAGCCCAACTTAACCCAGTGCATTTTAAAAGGGGCCCCACTTAAGTTATAAAAGGGAAATAGCCCTTGACTTTCAAAAATAGCTGTGTTTCTCAATTGCAAGGAAAAGTTTCAACCAGATTACTGATCTGCAGTAGGATTTCTTTTATCATTATGATAATAGTATGCCAGTAAAATGACACTGGGATACAAATATATGAATGAAGTTTAATATCCTCCTCCTAATGTCACCCAGTCTGATAAGGTTATATAAAGCTCATGCCTTACAACCTGATATGGTAATGGGTTTTAATACAACCATGCAGGTGGGGCCCATTTTGTTCAGACAATCCATGGTGTTTCTCAAGTCTTAGATACCTCATCCCTCTTTCTTTTTTTAAACACTGTTTCACTCATGAACAAATGTACAATGTGTCAGCCTCTAGGTGACATTTCCAATTGGTTAAAGTCAGGCAAATGATAGGCAGATTTTGTGGGACTGAATGGGGGGATATTTGTCTTGATTCACAAAGGCAAAACCTGGGCATGTTAACATTTGTCAGGAGCCATGACTTGTACAGTTTCTTTCTCCTTTTTTTTTTTTTTTTTTTTAAATAATTACAACATTCTTTACATATGTAACAAATCTCAAGTAGGTTGGGGGCATGCTATCAGGAAGCTGAGAGAGATATCCTGGCTGGGAGTATTGTTACCCTAACATCTAACTTTCACCATCTCCTTCAAAGTAGTCTCTTATCTGCTTGTAGCATACTGGGTTAAAAAGCAGAATTAAAAGTTGCTATTTTGATTTCATTACTCACACCTTTAAGTAAAATATTTTCTATTTTTAAAAGAACTTTTTAATCCTCCCCTCTCATTTAAGTCTAACTTTTTGGTAGAAAACATCTTTGCTGGGATAATGATATCAAAGTTCATATGACTTATGGAGGATAAAGAGTTCTCTCTAGTAAAAATTAAAACATTGATATGCATTTGCTATTAAGCCCAATTTGTGCTGATGCTGTTAAAGTTTAATATCTTTGGGATGGCACAAGGCCAATTGGCAGTAGGAAGATAATGTTGCACCAGCCCTTGTGAGAAGTTTCCATAGTTTCAAATAAATCATGTTGAAATTTTTTTTTTAACTATCCTGTTAAATGGCCAGTTTTTCAATCAACCTTTATCAAAGGGGATTGTTTTATATGAAAGATGAGATACTAAAACTAATACAAAAAAACTAACATTCTTTTTTATTAAAATTAAATGGGGAAAGTCAAACAGAAGGCTGACTTGATTAATACCTGGTAATTTTAGCAACTACAGAAATTGTTTTTGCTTACAGGGTGGTGGTGGTCGTAATTTCAGAAGAGATGAAAAGATCTTCAAATGACACAGTGACTGTTAAGATTGCAAAACAACCATTTGGAACGTTAATCCAAACAGGATTAATGAATGAGGTGTTGACCAATTGATGGATACCAAACCTGGTTAATGTAAAGTAACACAAATGGTCATTTCTAATACGTAAAGTTGCTTAATCCTAAACTAATCTCACCAAAGTTCATCTAGTATAACCAGATGGCATGTGAATAAATGCAAATAAATATATATATATATATATATACACACACATAAATAATCAAGAAAGAACTTTGTATAAGAGGAAAGTACTCTCCTTGCTAACTGAAAAAAAAATGTCTTAGTGTTAAATCGCTTACAGGTATATCATGTTGAAACACCAATTCTCACATAATCAGTGAAATTAAGCAACATCAGGGCTGGTCATTACTTAGATGAGTGACCCTGTGTCGGTGGTATAATGGATAACAGCTCAGAATTGGAAAATGGAGAGCCAAGTTCTGATTCCAGTCGCATTTGTTTATGCACACCTACCCTTAAGTTATGAATCCACCTCAGCTTCTCACTAGCTATGGATTAAATAGTAGAGCTTGTATCAGTAAATCCTTATCTCTCTAACCCTCCCCCACCCCCGAAAAAAAAACAATTCTTACCATCTAAAATACTTTTTATGGCATCAAATAACCTGCAAAAGGTTGATAAACAAGTGATAAATTTAGTAAATTGTTGGGGAAAACCAAAGACTAACATTGCCCAACCAAGGAAGTTTTGTCTTGAAAATCCAATTTCTACCAGCATCACTTCATATTGATTGAATTAATCTTTCACAGGTAAACAAAACTGGTGTGGGGGCAGAATTATTACAATAATGGTGTACTTAACATTGCTAATTTTAGTTTGGGACTGGACCAAGTGGTGAAAATTCAATGAAGAACAAACCTATTTCCCAAACAAACTAAATTGACTGACTGACATGAGTCATTGTAGATAGACAATTAATTTGTCATTACCATTGATAATCAGGAGTCCTGCATTACAATTCATTCATATAGTTTCATTTTGTCTTCTTTTGTCTCTAATAACATTATACTGGTCATCAGTGAAGTCTTGAGATGAAAGAATTCATGGCTGAAAAAAAAATAAACTCACATGCTGTTTGGGTGTCAATCTGAGAGACAAAAAACAGAGGATTTGGAAAGAGTTGGATGAGTCTAATGGTGATTAATGAATGAACCTTTCAGAGTTGAAAACTCAATCTGATGATTCTTATCAGAAAAGAACTTTATGATCTTTTGTTGGTGTTGGCCTCAGACTCAACACAGAGGCCTACATCAAGTGCCTTGAGGAGGTAGTGCTGCCCTGGGTCAAGAGGGTGTTGCTGGAAGACCCTATGTCTGGCAACAGGACTCTGCACCATGCCACACGAGCAAGAGTACCTAGTTATGGCTGTCAGACAATTTCTGTGACTGTATCCCCACTTACATCTTGCCACCTAACTCCCCAGACTGCAACCCCCTTGATTATTATGTGTGGGGGCACAGTTGACCAAGAGACCAACAAAACTTCTTGTAACACCAAAGATGAACTGATGGCAACGATTATGGCAGCATTCAGCAACTTAAACAAGGAGACTGTCCAGATGTGTTGCAGAAGATTCTGAAGTCATCTGGAGGCCATGGTTGAAGCCAATGGCGATTTTATTGAATAAATTTACTCTTTTAGTATTTCAAGATATTTTTTTGTAAATTTTGGTAAATATATCTGTTAAAATGAGATGTCAGTGTTATTTTCATTTTTGTGTAATTTAGATGACAATTTATCCATCGCACCCTGTATATATATATATATATATATATATATATATATATATATATATTTATATTTTTTTAATAATTTTTACGAAAATAATTATTTGATTTATTTTTTTTTTTATAAAATCAAAATGAAATTTTTAAAAAATTTATAATCTTTGAATTTAAAAAATTTATCCTTTTTTATGTTATTGAAATTTTTTTTATAACATTTAATTAAATATGGAAAATGTTTTTTGAAAATTTATATATTTTGTCCAAATGAAATGAAGAAAATTATTTTTTTATAATAAACCTTTTGTCCTTTACATTTTTAAACATTGATTGAAAAAAAAAAAAGGGCAATTCAGTTAAAAAAAAATCAGTAAATTGAAAAAAATTTATGTTTTAAACTAAACAATCAATTTATTTCAGATTAATATTTTATTGTTAAAATATAAGAAACTTGAAAAGAAAAAAGTCCAAATAAATAAATATCTTAATTATTTAAAATAAAATTAAATTTACTTTATAGAAATGTTAATGTAAAAAAATAAATGTTCAAAATTAACAATTTTTTTTGCCAAAAGGTTGTTTTGAATATATTTTTGCTGAAGAAAATTGTTTTTCAAAAATATTATTTAATTTAAATTAATCTAACACATTTGTTTTTAAAATTAATAAAATAAACATAGATGATATATTTTATATTTGAAAAGATTTGGAATTTTTTTTTTTTATTTGATAAACAAAAATTGCTTTTTTTTTTAAATTTTTAAGAATATTGAAAAATAAATAAACTTTTTCAAACCATATTTTTTTGAAAATTTAAAAAAACATAAAACAAAAAAAATATAATTAATGGAAAAA